CTTGGACTTGTCAAAGCCCATGTTCTTTTTTTATCCTTTCTTTTTTTATTTTGGCTAACATTGAGGGTATAAAAACTGGGTTATAATATTTGCATATGTTAAGTAGAATCTCTCTTATAGTTGTGTCCTGCACTCAAAAGGTGTGCCAACACCCTAAAGCCCATATTCTTTTTTTCTTTTTCCTGAGACAGAGTCTCAAGCTGTCACCCTGGGTAGTAGAGTGCTATGGTGTCACAGCTCACAGCAACCTCCAACTTTGGGGCTTAAGCGATTATCTTGTCACAGCCTCCCAAGTAGGTGGGACCATAGGCACCCACCACAACGCCCCACTATTTTTTGGTTACAGTTGATTAGCTGGCTGAGGCCAGGTTCAAACCCACCACCCTCAGTGCATGTGACTAGCGCCATAACCACTGGGCTACATGTGCCAAGCATAAAGCCCATATTCTTAACCCAGTTGTCCATGCAGCTTTGCTTGGCTCCCCTGGGGTGGAGTCATACTACATGTGGGCCCAGGGTTCCTGGGTAGGAGGGAGCTTGGTATTGGGGTGGCCACCACATTTGGGTCTTAATGCTCATGTGGAGCTGTGGCCACCAGGTACACCGAGACTTCCGCCTCTGGCTCACCAGCCTGCCTAGCAACAAGTTCCCAGTGTCCATCCTGCAGAATGGCTCCAAGATAACCATTGAGCCACCACGAGGAGTCAAGGCCAACTTGATGAAGTCCTACAGCAACCTCAGTGATGAATTCCTCAACTCCTGTCGCAAGGTGAGGCACACTTGGTGCATGCCTGCCCTTCCTGCCCCTACCCCTGCCCCTCATGTCACCCACTTCTCACAGGTGACAGAGTTCAAGTCCCTGCTGCTCTCTCTGTGCCTATTCCATGGGAACGCACTAGAACGCCGTAAGTTTGGGCCCCTGGGCTTCAATATCCCCTACGAGTTCACAGATGGAGACCTGCGCATCTGTATCAGCCAGCTCAAGATGTTTCTGGATGAATACGATGACATCCCCTACAAGGTAGGCCAGGCCAGGCTGGGAGCCAGGGGCCCAGGCACTTATGGGGGCCCTCACCTACTCACTTCATAGGTCCTCAAGTACACGGCAGGGGAGATCAACTATGGGGGCCGTGTCACCGATGACTGGGACCGGCGCTGTGTCATGAACATCCTGGAGGACTTCTACAACCCTGATGTGCTCTCTCCTGAGCACATATACAGCGCCTCGGGCATCTACCACCAGATCCAACCCACCTATGATCTCAATGTGAGCCTACCCCCAGGGACAGTGTGGGAGGAGCTCACCACACTGGGGTCCTAAAGTCCAGTGAAACACCTTGGAGCTAGGTGAGAGCAGGCATGATCTCCAGTATCTTCTTTTCATTGATTAATCCATCTCACAAAGATAGCCAGGGTGAGGGAGGTGGAGTTAGTTCCTCCTCCCAAGAACTTGGCTCTGGGAAGAGGCCAACTCCCACTTGGCTCAGCCACTTCCCGTGTGTAATTAGAGAGGGTTGGGGCAGATCTTCAAGATGATAAACAGGTCCAGACTCTGCAGTCAGGGAGGGCTCCCTGAGGAAATGATGATCAGTGATGCCCTTGGACTTGCCAAAGCCCATATTCTTTTTTTTGTAGTTTTTGGCCAGGGCTGGGTTTGAACCCACCACCTCCGGCATATGGAGCCAGTGCCTTACTCCTTTGAGCCACAGAGCCCAACCAGAGCCCATATTCTTAACCCAGTTGTCCATGCAGTTTTGCTTGGCCCACCCCAGTGGTGGAGTCAGGGTGTGGGTGGGCATAGGGTCCACTCAACATATGTAGGGAGAAGTCACAAGCCAGAGCTGTGTTGGGTCATCATTGCAAAGGGCCTGTGGCAGGAGGGAGCATAACAGGTTTGATCTCACTGAATGGAGGAAGAGGGAGTAGAAGGTAGTGAGAAGGGGAGTGGGACGGAAGCATGGGCCACACTACAAAGTAACTCAGAGGTCATGGAGTACCAAGAATAGGGACATGCGAAAGGGTTACTACCAGAGGTGACAAGTGGGGACATGACAAGTGAGGACTTGCCCAACCGGAGGGTTACTGTGAAGGCTGCAGTAGAACAAAGCAGGGGCTTCAGTTGGAGCCCTCCTACTTCCTAGGGCTATCTCTCCTACATCAAGAGCCTCCCACTCAATGACATGCCTGAGATCTTTGGTCTGCATGACAATGCCAACATCACCTTTGCCCAGAATGAGACGTTTGCCCTCCTGGGTGCCATCATCCAGCTACAGCCAAAATCATCCTCTGTAGGCGGCCAGGGCCGAGAGGAGGTGGGTAATGGCAGGAGGAAGGGGACTGAGGGCTACATGGGGCCAGGCTCTGCCAGGCTGCCTGCACCCCTGTGGGAAGGAACTCTGCATGCAGAATCCTATAGGGGTTAAGAGAGGCAAGCCTTAACCCCCAGTGTCCTCTGCTTCTGCAGATAGTAGAAGAGGTGGCTCAGGACATTCTGTTCAAAGTACCTGAGCCTGTCAACGTGCGGTGGGTGATGACCAAGTATCCTGTGCTGTATGAGGAATCAATGAATACAGTGCTAGTTCAAGAGGTCATTAGGTAATTGCCCCCCCCCCAAAGTCAGCAGCCACTGGACTGTAGAGAAATGGCAACAGGAATTACTGTGGGCCAGGCACCATGCCGTGCTTCTAACTCAGCCACACTTTTATTATTCCCATTTTATTGCTGAGACCCCAAAAAGGTTAAGTTACCTATCCAGGTTGACACATGTGCTAAGGGCCAGAGCTGGAATTTGTACCCAGGTGACCTGATCCAGCTCTAAGCTTTTAGCCTCTACTTTTTGCCGTTACTTTTCTATGACCCTAAACTAGGGAACATAGATACTATCACACAGCCTCAACCCACTGCCTACTTCCTTGCCCTGGTCCCATAGGTACAACCGGCTACTGCAAGTAATCACACAGACATTGCAAGACTTGCTCAAAGCACTCAAGGGGCTGGTGGTGATGTCCTCACAGCTGGAGCTGATGGCTGCCAGCCTGTATAACAATACTGTGCCTGAGCTCTGGAATGCCAAGGCCTACCCATCACTCAAGCCACTGTCCTCATGGGTCATGGACCTGCTACAACGCCTGGACTTTCTGGAGACTTGGATCGAAGGTGGCATCCCAGCTGTCTTCTGGATCAGTGGCTTCTTCTTCCCTCAGGCTTTCTTGACGGGCACTCTGCAGAACTTTGCCCGCAAATCTGTTATCTCCATCGACACCATCTCCTTCGATTTTAAGGTCTGGGCTCAGCCAGGGCCAGTTCAGGTGATAGGCTAGGGTGCAGCCCAGGCAATAAGGGGCACTAAAACCACAGCTGGCTAGCAGTCAGAGGACACCCCTACCAGAAGGGTGGGAAGACCCAGGCCAGAAGAGGCCATGAGTCCCAGGGAAATCTACAAAGGCAGAGCACAGTTGCAGGCTGCTGTAAGAAATGGTGGGTAAGGGATGGGCAGGCAGGCAGCACCTCAGGAGGGAGTTTGTGTCTCCTGACCCAAATCCTAACTCAGTCTGGGTGTTGGTATGTGGGTGTGTGTGTTCCCATCACAGGTGATGTCCCAGGCACCATCAGAGTTAGAGGAAAGGCCCACAGAAGGGTGCTATATCCACGGACTGTTCTTAGAAGGTGCCCGCTGGGATTCAGCAGCCTTCCAGCTGGCTGAATCTCGGCCCAAGGAGCTGTACACAGAGATGGCTGTTATCTGGCTCCGGCCAGTACCCAACCGCAAGGCCCAGGACCAAGACTTCTACCTGTGCCCCATCTACAAGACACTGACCCGTGCTGGTATGAGGTCTGGGGTGGAGAGGTACACTATAGATGGTAGCCCAGGAATAACCCAGCCTACTAGTCCGGCTCAAGTCAGTTAGATTCTCCCAGGTTAGCTGAACAGTAAGGCCAACAGAAGCCAACAGGTTAATGGCCAGGTGCTGAGATCACCTACTTGCCTCCCAGGAGATACACCTTGGGTCCTGAGAGCCTATGAGCCCCAGTCTGCCATCAGGGATTCAGAGCATTAACTGAGGCTCAGGCCAGAGGTGGACTTGGGCTTGGTCTATCAGGCCATGAAAAGTGGCATCATGTCTTCCATTCCCATCCATCTTCAGTCCCTGGTGCAGTAACTCTGAACAGGTCTAAGCCTTGGCCAGACCCACTTACCAAGCAGGTTTCCTCTTGGGCCAAAGACCCCTCCCTGTCCCCAGCTTAATCTGCCAAATGCACTGGCCTTGCCCCTATCCTATCCCTGTTCTAGTTTTTACAGTGTATAACCTAAACCTTCCCCCTTTTTGCTGTCTAGGAACGCTATCAACCACGGGACACTCCACCAACTATGTCATTGCTGTGGAGATTCCCACCAACCAGTCCCAGCGACATTGGATAAAACGTGGTGTGGCTCTCATCTGTGCCCTGGACTACTAGACTCAGACAGAAGGGCCAGGGCCATTAAAATTACATTTTCCAAGCAGTCCAGCTGTGCCTTAACTACTTGCATGTGACCTTCTCTGTAGGGTTTACTGCCGGTGTGGGAGTGAGGGACCACAATTGCCTCAGCAGAGAATGCAGTCAGCGGGGAATAGAGGAATATAGAGAAGCAGCTTTTCCAAATCCAAGCTGGATTTGGGAGGCACGTACCCTCCCAGGGAGAAGGTAGCAGGTAGGACTAGAGGCAGCTACACCTCCTATACCAGGAGCCCCAGCACCAGGATGTAAAGCTACCAGATGTGATGAAAGCCATGGCCCTGTCCCCACAAAATATACCTTGTCTGGAGCCCATGTGAAGCCCCTCTTTGGCTGAGGTGCTAAATCCTAAGCCTAGAGTCTCAAGGATCTCTGGCCCAAGAGAAAGTTGGATGCCCCGGGACTGCACATTTCTCTACTCTGGGCACAGGCCTTGGGCCAGGAGGCCTGGTAGGCCCTTACTCCTACCACATCCTAGCCTTAGGCCAACAACCACAGGAGGGTTCATTTTTTAGGAGAATTTTATTCATTCATTAATCCAATATTTACAGGGGTTGGAGGGGTCAGGTTATGCTCAGCCTAGAGAGGCAGCTGCCACATCTGTAAGCCTCCCAGTCACTATGTACAGATAAGGGGCTTGCTTGGATCACCTTCAAGGCCACCTGGCAGAGGCCATGGGGCAAAATTTGGGGCCTGAGCTCCAGAGGCAGTGTTAGGCCCATTACCCCTTGGCATCAGGACCTCTGGGAATGCAGAGGCTCCAATCAGTTGTCTTGATCCTGTTGTACCCCACCCTGAGTGCCTTATAGAAGCTGAGGAAGCTGGCATAGCAGGGAGGGCTGAGTGGTGCTGGCTTCCCGCAAGCAGCCCTGTCTCCGCTACCCCTAAGAGAGAGACTCGGTAATACTGAGGGGCTGGGCAGAGGCTCCTCTGAGCCTCAAGCTCCAGGATCCGAGACTAGGAGCCAAAAGGAGGCCCATAGCTAGGGCCACAACACTGAAGGCAAAGAGCCCCAGAACCCTGCTGTAGAGGACAGTTGCAACAAGACTGGCTAGAACTAGGACAGTTTTCAGGCCACCTAACAGTTCGTTCAAACACTTCTCTCTGCCCAGGCCAGGGGAACCACCAATTTACTAATATCATCCCTTCCGGGATACCCCACTTCCAATCCAGCCCAGCAGTCAGGTCCCTGAGTTTGGCACTCTCCCAAAGGGAATAAAGAGAGTAGGCCTAGCTTCCTCATGACAGGGACAGGCTGGCGGCAGAGACTAGAGTAGCAGGGCCTGATGCCCACTCAGGCCCTCAGCTGCGACTCCAATGTTCTAACCCTGGCATGATGTAGGGACGTGGGCCCATCAGCATGATAGCTGCTAGGATAGAAAGCAGTGTCAGAAAGCTGGCTATGTCAACATGGTGCAAAATGGGTTGGAGCCCAGAAAAATAGGTGTCTCTGATAAGTAAAATATATATTCTGCTGCCCACACAGAAGGGCCAGGTCCTGCCACTACACAGCCAGCTATGGAAGAAGCCATAGTACCTCACTATGCTCCAGGTCTAGCTGCTGCCTCCTCAGCACTACAGGCTGACCTGCCCCTGCCAGGCCCCAGGGCACGATGTAGGGAATGTGACTGGCTCCCATTCCCAGGTCCTAGACTCTCTGGCTGGAAATATTCAGTAATACTGGGAAAAGGGGGAGTAGACCAGGGAGAAGGCCCTGGTGAGAGTCACACGGCAAGAATGGGCTGCAGAGTCAAAGCCAGCAGTCCTCACTGGCGCTTGGCCTTGTAGGGGCGAGAACGTTTCCGCCGGTCAGGCTTCCGCTGCTTGTGGAGCCGCCCAATGCTGACCCCTTGGCGCCGCCGCACCGAGATGTTCTGTTCCACCAGGTTGGCCAGCATGCCTATGGGGAGGCACAGACCCTTGAGCAGGTGGCTGATTGCCTCAGGCTGGCAGCTGAGGCTTTCATGACCCTCCCTGTGCCTAAAGTGGAGGGACCTGAGGGACATGGCCTTCAGCAGGGAATACTAGTTAGGACACAGCAGCGAGTCCCCTTACCTTCCTGAGCCAGCATGGAGATGAAGGTGCAGATGAACTCATCATAGTTGTGGGTCCTTCTCTGATCATCTATCTATGGGGACAAAAGGCTGAAGGCACCGCAGCTCATCTCCCCATAGCAGCCACCAGCCAACCTCACAAGGACCAGGCAGCTGGAGAGATCACCCACCTTGAACTTCTTCCTCTTTTCCACCTCTTCCTTGAGGCAGGCCTCATAGTTTGCAATTTCAGCCTCCACACACTTCAGCAGTGCCAGCAGCTCCTGCCAAAACCCAGCATTGTGCCTCTGACAGGGGCTGGTCATCACCAAAGCCCGACTACCAAGAGGCAACTAGAGGCAAGGATCAACAGCCAGAGTTCATGGAGCCTCCTAAGGCTCCTGCCACCATCCAACCCAGAAAGTCTTCCTGGCACTTGGCTCCAGCTGCCAGTCTTCACACCAAAATTCCAATCAAGAACCTAGTACCTGGGCGAAAGCAGCTCAGGCCCTTCCCTCTGCCAGGATTAAAAAAGAAAGTTGCAAAGGAGGCCCACCTTGGGTGAGTACTTCTCCCCACTCAAGGGCTCGCCGGACTTGACCAGCCCAGTCTTCTCTCTGCTATCGGTGGCTTCCACCACCTCCACTGGACTGCTGGATCCCTGGTTGCCTTGGCTTGGTCTGATGGAGGGTGAAGAACCCTTCCCACCCTCTGGGAAGAGAGGGCACAAGACCCATCAGGGTGCAAGATACTTTGTCACCTCCCTCCTCCCTCCTGGTGCACCAAGTGCACCAGTGAGCCAGCCCAAGGCCCACCTGTCAGCGCCAGGGGACTCAGTACCCCATCCTCAGCCAGGTGCAGTAGGCCTGTGCTGATGACAGGACCCAAGTCACGGACAGCACGGTTGTAGCGTATGCAGTCAACTCGCAGCAGGCTGTCATCCTCTCCAAAAAGCACCTTGGAGATGTGGGAGGTGACAGGGCTGGAGGGTCGTGTTGGGTTGGCCGAGCGAATAGGTGAGCGCAGTGGCGAGTTGAAAGCACTGCCAATCTCAGAGGCCGTGTCTGTGCTCTCATTGCTGGGAGTGGGTGAGGGCTGTGAGTGCGTGGGCACTGCCACAGCTGGACTCCCAGCCCCACTGCTAGTCTTGATGGACAAAGGAATTGAAAGGTCTTTCTGGGACTCTTTGAGCTTCTCAGCCAAGACGTTGATCGTGTTGGGCTGCAAAACTGATAGCTGCCCATCTGCGGAACCACTCAATGACCCTGGCTTCCCAGTCCCCTTCCGCTTGTACCTGTGGGGCCCAAGAAGGGATGGAGCAAGAGGGCAGGCCAGGTGACCACACCCAGCAGTGCCCACAATGGTTTGAACACATCTTAACATCTGGGAGCTGTCCCTAAAACTCCTGGTATTTGGTCCAAGCAGCTTGAACCAGTCATGCCAAGCCTGGTACCCTAAGCTCTATCAGCTATAGCCAGGTGTCCTCAAGGACACCTCCTCTATTCCAGCTGCCCCATTTCTGGCCTTTTGCCAATGCTGTGTGTTCCAGCAAAGCTGCCCCCAATCACCTATGCATATCTCCTCCTCCCTGCCCCAACTAATCTTTTAAGGCCAGCTGAAAAGCCATCTCCAACAGGACATGCCTTGATGTATGTTTATGTGCTCAGCCCTCTCCTGAGACCATCAAAAACCTTTCAAAGACCTGGGGTCAACCCCTTCATGCCAGCTTCCCCCAGGGCCCTGCACTCTGCACATGCTCAGCATTATCTGGGGTAAAGGGCATTCTCAGACATGGGCTGGGATATTCTGGATAAGATCCGAGGCACCCAAAGCCTAGTAACCTTACAGAGCTGGGGCTGACCTGATGGCAGAATTGGTGTTCTGAACATCATCCTCCTCGTCATCTTCATAGTCATCTTCATCATCTGAGTATTGCTGGGGTGGGCGGACTGGAACTCGGCTGCGACCCACACCTGCTGCCAGATCTTCCTCCTCCTGAGGCAGACACCAGGGCAGTTATGAGCAGAGGCTGTTCAGCCCAGGCTGGGCACAGGGTGGGAGGGAAGCCAATGTGGCTCTCCAGGCTGAATCAGCTGAACCCCTTCAGGTGCTCTAAAGCCCATCCTTAGTTCCTGAGGCAGTTGCCACCCCCTTGGATAGATGCCTACGGAGAGCTGCTAAGAGAAGAGAGCTCCCCAAAACACATGCTTTTGCAGAACCCAACCTAGAGTTGTACCAAGGAGCATGCCCTAAATGTTTAACCGACAGCCATGTCACTAGATTGAAGTTGGAAGAGCTCTCTCTCTCTTTCTCCCTAAGCCCCTACTGTAGTGGTGGCCTCTGCATTATCAAATGAAGGAACCTGGCAACCCATGCCTAGGCAGAGGGCGAACAACAAGGAACCACATGGGGAAAGTGCTTGTTACAACCTCTCAAGAGAGTAACAGAGAGACTCCCGCAATGGTACTCCTGGCTTACCTGCATGGGGGACTTGGCATAGTTGTGATTGTCTAGAAAGGCTGGCAGCCACTGGACAATGGGGGTGGGAGTAGGAGGAACCCCATTCAGGCTGCTTCCAGGAGGCTTCACCACCAGCTTGGGTTTGCTGGGAGGGCTATGGGTCGGGGCTTGTGAGCATGAACCAGCCACTTCCTCTGCACCATCTGAGACAAGGCAAGGAGCATAGTCAGGACCTTCAACAGGATCCTCAAGAAAAGCCCACAGTCTCCCTAGTCATATGACACAGTACTGCTCCCTTCCCTCTACAGAGAGCAACCAACCCAGGTGGTGTAATGAGAATCGCCAAGCTCTAAGACATGACCTCATAGCAAGACTGGGAGAAGAATGAGATGGGAAAAAGTGGGGCGGCAGAAAAAAAGAAAGGCCTCTATGAGAGAACAAGGAAGTATACATTATGGAGAAGGATGCAGGGGCCTGTGGTAACAGCAGCCCCTTACATGTACTTTCTTTAGGGAAGTACTATCCTACCTCTATGTTTTGAGCAGGGAGAGCTACAAGCACTGGGAAACTCTGCACTATTGGCCAAACACCTCCATAGAAAAAGACTTGCTCTGTTTAGGCCTCCCAGGACAAGCTATGAGGGGATGGCTTTTAGACTCATGAAAGGCCCCATCCCACCTCCCAGTACCTGTATGGGTGCTCTCAGAGGCCACTGGGGCCCTGCTTGTCTCCAACACGAGGGGGGACTTGGTGCTGGACTTGGACTCCTCAGGCAGCTGTGACTCTTGAGACTTGTGGGTCTGAATCAGCTCTGGCTGTGTTACCCTAATCAGCTAAAAACAGAATACAAGGCTCAGAGGAAAAAGGGCAGCCCCAGGCCTCTACCTTGGACAGCCGAGGGTTGAGGGACTAAGGGAATAATAGTCTAGGCTCTATCCATTCATTCACTCACAAGGAGATCAACAGCCAAACTAAACACCCCTTAGAAGTTCTTCTTCCTCGCCACCCTAAGTGCTACCTTTCCTACACCGGAGCAAAGGAAAGGAGTGGTTAGCTAAATGTCAGACCCATGAGGGAGTCTGATCTGGGAATCAGAGCCTGATGCCACAGTGAGGGAAAGGCAGGGAGGACTGGGTTGGGCACAGGAGGAGGAGCACCTACCTGCTGCAGGGCCTCCAGTACTGTCTGACGGTTCACCTTCAGCACATGCAACCTGGCTTCATACTTGATCCTGCGGTCGGGTACTACTGCCATCAGGTTGAAGCGAATGTCGTGGTAGGGCTCCCTGCAGTCACAGCCACAGCCATGAGAGCAGCTCCCCCCTGGCCCTGCCATCAGGTTGAGGCAGATATTCTAGCAGGGCTCCCTGCAGTCACACCTGTAGCCGAAGGTACAGGCTCCACCCCAATAGTCAGGCAGCAACTGACATGTACACCAGGCACCTGAGCCAGATCCTTCAAACAAGCTGTGTGAGGGGCCTGTCAGGAAGTGAACCAGCCACCCAGGGCTCCACCACAGCTGGCCTGCCCCCTGCCCATCCTGAGTGGGCCACAGGCAGCCCCAGAAAGAAATAATAGGGAAAGAAGTTGAGAGCCCACAATCTGAGCCTGATCTTGCAGATTCACCATGTAGCTTTATAATTTACAAATTACTCTGTCCCTCTCAAAGGGGGCATAGCTCCAAAGGGTAGAGCAAGGCAGGCACAGGGCCCTTACCCTGCAGTGGCAAGTCCAATACGCTCCATGATGACTCGTCGGGCCTTGTCTGTCCACTCCTCATCCTCCCCCCAGGGTCCTAGGGAGACCAAGACAATGAATCACCAGGTGGGAAAACCTGAGTTTAGGCAGGCCAGGAGAGAGAAAGAAAACAGACAAGGGCAGTTGAGCCAGGAAGTCAGGAGCTGGCTGAGCAATGCAACATAAGGTGAAATCCTAGGCAGAGTCATATGTCCTTAGCACCCAGACCCCCTACCTCCGGGTCCCAAGCACCTAAGGCGCTAAGCACCAGCTCCCCAGGAAGTAAACAGAGGAACAGGACCCCAGCTCAGGATGCCTACCATGGTCAATGGGGTAGACCTTCAGCCCATCCAGCTCAAAGAGCCGGCCTGTGATAGGCACATAGCTGACAAAGTGGAATGCCTCCATGGTCCGCACTGCACTAAGGCCATTCTGCTTTTCAGGAAGGTGGCGTGGCTCAGGCCTGAAGAATGTCATAGTAAGGACCCCCAAAATGGCACTCCCCCCACCCTTACCCTACATCAGTCCCCACAACTCCTACACACCTGGCATGGCTATTATGTGCCTTGGCCAACTCCGGGGCATTACCAATTGCATATCCTTTGCTCTAGATGGAAGAAAAGGCCACATCAGAAAAATTTCTCAATTGGACCTCTGTGTAGAAGGCAAAGCTCCAGAGAACAGGTCTGGAGGCATTCTAGAAATCTGAAGGAGCACAGATGAGCTTTCCTAAAGTGGTAGGCTCTGGAGCCCCACAGAGATGGGCTGTGCTAGTTTTGCATAATAATCACTGGACACTAGAGAGCAACATGACCTGATAGAGACATTCCTCACAAAGATGGTTCTGACATAGTATGACTTAAGGGATGGCTCTTCCCTTTCTAAGTCTGTCTTCTTTCCAGATAATTGGGCCTAAAATCAATTACCTTACACAATTTAAGTGTCAAATGTATTATCAATGTCATTTGAAAATGAAACAGCCTAATAGTGATAAATAATGTGTGGTGGCATTACCAAGGGCTCTGAGGGTCAGATCTGCCCAGCTGTGAGCCAGGATTAAGACACTGCAGCCTACTTACCTCAGGGCTGAAGCCTTTGGTGAAGTCCTTCATGCGACTCAGGGTGGGCCCCAGGTCCACACTGCTGCAGTTCAAGAGCACACTCAGCAAGGCATGAGTGGCACAAGAGTTGGGTATCAGCTATGAAACCAAGAAAAATCATCCATACACAGCACCCCTTCCCCCAGACTCCCCCAAGCCCACATTTATCAGGAATGGGGATCCAGAAAGGGATTGTCAAATCTGGACAACCACCCTCATCAGCTCCCCTCAACTTTGTCCAATGTCTTCTCATTTAACAAGCACCAACTAAATACCCACCAACTATCTGGAGACATGGACAATAGACTCAGATATCACACTGCTCTAAAGATGTCACCTTTAATGAATATGAGCTCAGTTCCTTCTGCCAGGAGATTTCTGTAACCACCACCCCTGGGATCTGCCTATCTCCTCCTCCTGCATTCCTCTACTTCCACTCCCAAGCAAAGACAATGGCAACATCCCACCCTCAGGAAAGAGCCCAGAGCCCAGCAGACCTGGTGAGCAAAGAACATGTTATTCACAATATCATCATCAATCACAGATGTATCATCCACCAAGGTAGAGACCTTGCGACGGGACCGGCGCTCTTCGATCCATTTGAACAAGAAGATGAATCCATATACAGGGCTGGGGAAATGAGAAGAACTAGATCAGCCAAGAGACAAAAGGCAATCAGGATCCCCTAGTTTCTCCTATTTCTTTGCACTATGTCACCACTCAGGTGCCCTCGACCCTGGCTTCTTTCCAACACTGTCCAAAGTGACCCTGTGCCCTCACACCCGAGAAGCCCTCCACAGTCAGAGTAAAGCATCAGCTTTTGGCTGTGGTGCTCCAAGAGTCCATCCAGTCTCTTTATGAAGTTTATGCTTCTGGGTAAGAAAACTCGGAAATGACAGACCAGGACAGCACTGGGTAGAAACACAAAGTAAACCAAGAACAAAAACTCAGATGAGGAATTTAAACACTAACTCCCTCAATACAGTCAGGAACGCAAATCAACAACCACACTATTCCCTTCTTTCCCAAGAAATTAAAGCAGACTTCTTGGTTCAGTCACTGTAGCATTCTCTCTATACCTCTATTCTGTGGGACCACCAAGACAAGACCCTAAGTTTAGGCACCCAGGAGGGGCCCTGTCACACCAACTAATCAATATAGGAAAACCTTTGTGTCAAGATTAAAGCAACCACACACATTAACACACTGTAGTTAAGAAATAAATTATACAACTGAAGACACTGTGGCCTGAGTATCCCTACTGCAAGAATATTCCTGCAAGATAAGAAAAGAAAAAAATAGCACTACATAAACAGAAAGACTGAAAGAAAAAAATATCAACTTGACCCAGACAGGAGGGAAAGCTTCCTTCTGTGAGATTTAACAACTTGGGATTCCTCATATTGCCTCCATTGATGGACACTCTTTCCTAGGCCCTTCCCAAGCCCTCTGAGTGTAAAGGACGGCCCTGGCGTTCGGCCACTCACCCCTGGCATTTGCTCTGAAGGTCATAGATCTCCTCCACCTGCACCCCTTTGACACCTGAGATCAAGGAAGGAGAGTGGTCGGGAAAGGCAGGCCCTGGCCCTGGAGCAAGGGCGCAAGGGTAGACTTGCACAACCTCAGAAGAGGTTCTTACCAAAATCTTCCACCAGGAGGGTGAAGAGGCCTGGGTGGGGCGACAAGAGGAAGGAGTAATGGTCAGGCAGGCGCGTCCCGGGCCGACCGGCCTCCCCAGCCCCC